TGGGAAATTTTGGGGTCCGACCCGATAGTGTGAGTGCACACATGGACTCTGCTGTCACTAGCTCTAGCAGAGAGAATCAAGCCGGTGTTGACGATTAACAAAATAAATTGATGCTTCTTGAAGTTGCAAGAGAGCGGCGAGATTTAGTACCAAACATTCCAGCAAGTGATTGTGAACAAGCTGGGATTATCTCATGAACGTGGGGTGGTAAATTCTAATAGGTTTTTCACGACAAGAGCGAGTAGGCTAAGCTTTGATATCATGAAGAAATATATGAGGCTACGGCAGGATTGCTCGGAGTGTAACAAGGTTTTGTACAATGCGAGTCCTGAGAAATAGTGTTTCAACGATGGTGTTGCGCATTCTCAATTGACCTTATCACAAGGATCCGCTACGCTTGTGCGAGACTCCCCATCGGAAGGACTTGCGGTGCGGCCCGCACAGTCTGCAAGATTAACCATCCTTGACCAACTGTTCCACAAGGACTTCAACAAAATATTAAAGAAACTTGCCTCGTCTCGAGAAAACGGGTCGCAGAGACTCAGTGAGCGCAGACGTGATCATTGTAATGTCCGAAGACGCGCTGATGGGGGACGTGCAGGTGTATCCGGAGAAGGGGACAGAGTCGTTTTCAGCGGGTCTGCAGGGGTGGGCTTTCTCGTTGACAAACTTCGCAAAGATACTTGCGGGAGGTTCAGAGTGCACAGGAAGAAGATAATGGAAAGGCTGTGGGGCGAGCATTTTTTTGATCCGGCTAAGAAGAGGTGGACGTCAATAAACAGGGGGTCTGCAAAGTGCCAGCGCGGGTTTGTGCGGGTTTGTGCAGATCATGAGCAACGTTTACATGGATGACCAGAAGAACAAGCTGTGGCCGATGTCAGCGAAGCTGAACTACGAGCTAAGGTATGAAGAGAAGGAGCTGGTGGAGAAGGCGCTTATAAAGAGGGCAAACATATTGAGCAAGTTGCAACTGCTACTAACAATTACTACCAACAACTGAAGGTCGACATCTTGTGAGGAACCAGCTCACATGAGGGAGGCGTTATCGCTCAAGCAATTATCGAGTATTTGTCACAAATTGTTATGCTATAAGGTCTCATGCTTTTGCAATTGGTAGAGGTGCTGGATTACCGGATTGGGTATGTAGTAGAGCTACTGAACTTCTTGCCTTGAAGATTATGTGCGAGTTTAGAATTCATGTCAAGAAGAATCTGATTTAGATGTCTCACAAACCTATGAAAATAAAGTGGATGAGGTTCATGGAAATAACAATTCCTACGACAAGAAACTTGCAATTGGGCTTGATGAAGTAATTGAGGATGCAAATTGCAGTGCTGAGGCACTGACCTCACATAAAAGACACTACATGCAAGTTGATCGATCGATGCATCTTCAATGGCATGCAACAATCAACTCTTTAAAAGGTTCCAAGAACAAAATCTTTGTTAGAAAAGAACAAATTGAGTAATAACAACTTCTAAGTCCTCAAAAGTTTATTTGTCAAAGCAAGAACCTAAAAAAATTAATACGATTTGATTTAAGTGATTAAAAAATAAAAAAATAAATAAAAATAAAACTATTAAAAATTTCTGTATTTATATTATGAAAAAGCAATTCATAAGATACAAGATCATGATATCAAATCAACTAAATTTAAGATAAAGGATACAAATTAAATATAATAAAGTAAAAACATAAAGATATCTAATTATAATAAGAATATTGCAATTAAAAAATTTTAGACTACAACTATGAAATACAAGTTTATGCTACTACAAATTCTTATAACTTCTTTTAAATCTCTTATATTTATTAAAACCTAAGGTTGTGAATTTTTAATTAAAGTGCTTTTAGATGCTAGAGCCTCTATACATTTTAAAGATACAAACTTTGAACAACAACAAAAATTAATACTTTTAAAGTAGATTTGACTTACTCCAATAGAGATATTAATATTCAACTACACACATTTGGAAATAATATAGCATAAACCAAGAAATTGAAAGTAATATTATAAAAAAAAAATTAGACATATTCTTTAATATCATTCAATATCCTCCTAATTTACTTGTAATTGGTCTTATGTGATTTATATTATAGAATTTTGATATTGATTAAAAATTATAAAATATTGCTTTATAATTTAGTCCAAATGTCAACAAATTATCTCAATTTTATTTGTTGGAGCTAAAGAGTTTATGTAAGCTACAAAAAAAAAATGATTTGTTTCTTATTTATAAAATATAAAATCTTTATTTAAATAAAAATTACAATATTATCTTAGAAGAATATCAAAAATATCAAGATTTTTTTTTAAATATTTATATATTAAATAATTGTGTAATTAATCTTCAAGAAAGAGCTTAACCACTATTTGGACTAATTCACAATTTGTTGCAAAATAATCTTACTACTTTGAAAGAAAATATTAATAAAAATCTTACAAAGAACTTCATTCAACATTCAAAATCTCTTATAAGAACACTATTCTTTTTTATAAAGAAAAAAGATTGATCCTTGCAAATAAATGTACATTATTATAGACTTAACAAAATGACTATAAAAAATATATGACTTTTAATTTTGATATCAAGGTTCTTTAATCAATTGAGTGAAGCTAAAATCTATATTAAGTTAGATTTATAAAGAGCCTAAAATTTAATATATATTAAAAAATAAAATAAATAGAAGAAAACATTTTAAAATAATTGTGGTTATTTTAAATATAATGTCATATCTTTTGGACTTATAAATATTTCAAATACTTTTTAAATTTTGATAAATGATGAATCTTTAAATTTGTAGATTATTTTATTATATATTATTTAGATAATATACTTATATATTATTATGATATAAAATAATATAAAATATATATTTAATTTTGTACTACAAAAAATAAAAGATGCAAGTTTTTAAGCCAAGATAGAATAATGTATATTTTATTCAACTTAAGTAGAATTTTTGAAATACATCGTATTGAATTATTATTAAATATTTACTAAGAATTTTTCTTAAATTATTATTTTTTTGTAAAATTAACTTTCAAAAGAGAATTTAAATAGAGTAAAGCTACAAAATTAACAATTAAAGTTTTAAATATAATATTTACATCACCTTTTACATTATGGTATTCAAAATGTTTAAAGCTATTTTTAAAGAAAAAAATTCATTATACTTTGCTTTAAATGCAAATTTATCACAAATGAATATTGATAGTAAACTAAACCTTTTTTTTTATAATATCTATGAATAATATGGACTGTTTGTGATATTATATCTAATTCAAGTCCTCACTTTATATCAAGATTTTAGAAGATACTCTTTAATATAATAAAATTTGATTTTAAGATATCTTCAACTTTTCATTTTCAAACTAATAGACAAATAAAACTTGTGAATCAAGTATTAAAATAATATTCATAGAGTACCATCAACTATCACCAAGATAGTTAGATAACTCTTTTGCAATTAACAAAAAATTCATATAATAATATAATATATTTTTTTTATTTAAAAAATTATATTTTTTACTAATTTTGATTATCATCCATAATTTTTTAATTTTGAATTTTTAAATTTATAATTAAAAGAGGATTAAAAAATAAATAATAAAAAATAGTATTTTTAAGAAAAAAACAACTTTTATTCAAGGTTGATGACAAAATGTGGAGACTATGTTGTAATATCAAGACCAAACAATCTTATGAGAAGTGAGGTTATTAAAGATTAACTTGTTTATTATTTGAAAATAAATTAATCAAGTTGCATAATCAAAATGTCTTGCTATTGAAAATTTATCTATGCATGTAAAATAATTAGATACTTAAGTTTCTACAATATTTTTACCTTCAATAAATATGCTCTAAAAATTATTCTTCATCTGCTTCCTATCTCCTAACAAATTATATTCTCTAATGATCTCTACAATGACACTCTCTTATTGGCTCCTCAATTCTTAGTCAAACTTTTATTTGTCCATTCTCCTTCTAGTGCCCCTTAATGTGTTGTTCACACTTGTCACCTATCATTTCAAAAGAAAAAGATTTTGCAGATTTTGTTGAAAAAATCAACTCTTCTTCTTGGAACAAGATACATTCTTCGGCAAACGTCCACTTGGGGAGATCTTCATTATAAAATTCTTCGAAATCTGCTCCTGAACCATCGTTCTCCAGTAACACCCCGTCTTGGATATGGAGCCTCAAACGAGAGGGAAGGTATTGATACCACTGGATTTCATTAAGCTACCAGTGCAGGGCCATCAGCTGATTCGGTGCGAAGTTGACTGTCCCTGAAGCACAAATGGTGCACAATTGCTAATCCGTTGTGGAACTTTAACACTGTCGCCGTTTGATGTGCACAGCTGTTGCGATATCAGAATTCACAATGCCAAGAGCTATGATCTCAGCATTGGAGTGACCCACGTCGTGAGTCCAGAGCTTGCTCCAGATTAGCTTTGTGATCTCTGGATGCTTATTGCTGAGACAGCAACGATTCAAATGCTTTTTGATGATAAGATTCACGGAATTGTTGTATCTGGAGATGAGGAATAAGTCAACAGTGGTTTGGACACTCAGGATTTTGTATGCTCGGGTAGAACTGGGAAGTGGAGCGCAGGATTTCATCAGGGTCGCGTGGAACATCTTCGACTCGATTACGAAAAGCTAATGCATTACAGAATGCTGTTTTCAAAAGTATAGAACAGAATGCTGTTTGTTTGCAATAAAGTTTGGATACTCGGACCCCCTGCAGCTCATAGATCAGAGAGATTAAAAGCATGAGAAGATCAGCACGGAGGATTTCTCACATTCCTATACTCCACTGAACATTTCACAGTAATTGGTGTAGAAAGTCTGGGCCACGAGTTAGACTTCATTCGGCGAGTTTTACAGACGAACTTCTATAACCCGAAACGATTCCCACGATGCCCGATGACACAGGTTGGAAGCGCGTCCGAGACAACAGTAGCGGCAGACACAAGTGACAGAGATCCATACTCGTAGGTGGAATTTTTTTTTCTTATATAGAGTTCCTTTCCATGGTACGTATATCCACCCTTAATGCGGGCGCAGCATGTTCCAGTTGAAACCCCCTTGTGGGCTCCAAGCATGATCACCATTGTCAATAAAATGTCGAAAGCTGTCTTCACTGCCATTATTCTAATTCAAATCTCGAATTGCTTGGGGTTGCTTCTTCATGTTACTAACTTCTATACTAATCACTTATTCTTTAACCAGTTATAACTTACGACATTCCTCATTAATACTTCCTCACCCACAAGATCCTGCCCACAGGTTCGCCGTTGCCGTAGCCAAAATGTTGTTCCGAGAAACTCTGTCAATCATAAGTTAGGTCTGTCTGTTGTTGGTGTCTGTATGTTAAGCTACTTGTCGGTTCTGTCAAAGAGAGTATCAAGCAGTTGTTATTACCAATTACTTCTTCAGTCAAGCGATCTTCAGGCATGTCAATATACAAAAGCCTGAGACCGGACTTCTCGCATGGCAGGATGGTGTTCGTGTGGGATCGCATTTGTTTATATGAGTGAGCGGTTTCTACGGTATTTGTATAGTTGGTCGTCATCTATGAAGAAGGGACGGCTTTGCTGAGCCAAGCGAGGCACATCGCGGCAGTCCACGAGAAGCTGCCACCGCCTGCTGGTTTGCCGTCAGTGGGGTCATAGTACTCGTAAATGCCAGACCCAAGAAGTTCATAGGTGTCGGATTCGACGCGCTGCGCAAGGGAGTCGAATCCGTAAGCACGAAGGCCATCGGTGATCATCCAGTTCACGATGGCCCAGATGGGTCCTCTCCAGTAGCGGAGAGCTTCGAAATCGGCTGATTCAGGGTCGTTGCTAGGGATTCCGTATTTGACGCAACTCAACCACCGTTCCAGGGTGCCAGCGAGTTCCTGGGCTTGTGTAGGAGTAGCAATCCGGGCGAAGAGAGGCAGGAAACCGGCAGATGTGCTGGCATTCAACAACTTCCCCGTCAGCTGATCCTTGGACTTGAACATCTTTGCCTCAGGGTCGTAAAGACTGCTAAACGCTGCACGAGTACTTTCCAGCCATCCATCAATCTCAGGGAGGACGTCCAACTCTCCAAGCAACTCGGCCAGCCATCTGCCACAAACCAAGGGTGAAAAGTGAGCGTCAGGAAAGCGAACCTCCATGATGGCTGAAATTTCGAACCGAAAGTGGAAGTAGAAAGAATAAAAGATCTTCGAGGATCATTCCTACCTAAGGGAGAGATTGGCGCGGTAGAGGACGCTGTTAGTGCACAAATCGGTGACACGGAAGGGGGACAAGTAGTAGAGCTGGTTGCAATCGTAGTCCACGGCGCGAAAGCGGTAGACGAGGGTAAGAAAACGATCGTACTCGGCCTGGCTTGGGCGCATGGAGCTGTTCACATGGGTCAAGTCTGCCCTCACGTATGGTGGAATATCATCGACGGGGACGTTGCGGAGCGGCTCGTCCCATGCGGGGCTGTTGTCCATGCCACTCTCCCAAGGGTGCAGAGTGGCTACCAGACCAGTGTTCTCGGGATCGCGAGCGGTTTTGAACCAACGATGCCATGAAAGAAGTTTGGGGAAGAGCTCTCTCACTTTCGTCAAGGCCAGTTCCTTATTCACGGCTTGCTCGAAAAGATTTCGTACTGTTATGGCAGCCACAGGTGGTTGGGTGATGCCTGTAGATTTGCGCGGCTTCTCCACGGAGCCCCAAATCTCAGGGCCAGGGAAGTAGGTGGTGGAAGGCTTGTGGAAAACGATATGGGAAACCATCCCATCGTCCCACTGCGCGGAGAAGAGCTTGGTCATCTCCTCCCATGCGCGTGCTTCGTCAAGCGTGGCCCACCCCATCGCCACCAACGCGGAGTCCCAATTCCATTGGTACGGGTACAGTCCCTTCGCGGGGATCGTGTAGCCCCCTTGATCATTGTCAATCAAAATTTCGCGCGAGTCTGACAGCAGAGTTTGCAATTTCTTGTATGCATAACTTTGACATTCATCACTGCATCCAACACCGCAACCCAAAGAAGAAGGGATGAATTAAAAAATCTTGTCAGAAATAGTCACTATAAACGCAGACGCAACCATGTCCGAGAAAGACGAGAATTGACGACCTTGGTGGAAAATGCCGATGCAGCTGCATTAACGGAAAAATTCTGTTTCTGCTTAGGATTGATCATGTTGTTGCAAACATTCAAGAACACATCATCACCCAAAACTGAAGCATGCATTCGACACGAACATCGTCGATCTCGAAAAAGTTATTGTCCCATTCTCCACCAACTGTTCACGTTCATCCAGTTGTGTGGTGGACTTTACTTGTCAACTCGACCTAGTTTTGACAGGACAATTTTATTTCTTGACAGCTGCTGATTATCACTTACGTAAGATCGGCCCTCTTGGCTCCAGGAACCGCCGCTGGAGTCGAGTAGTCCAATGCCCCTCCACATCCAGGGCGTGCCGGTGCCTCAGTGGCCGGTATCGTCGACAACATTGCAACTGGCGCCATGTCTCGTCCCCAACCTCCGCGTTTTCAACCCAGCAGGAACACTATAGCCGATCAGTTCTTCGCCCGCCTCCCAGTGTAACCTGGATCGCACGTCTCCACCCAAAATATTCGATAACAACACCGTAGCAGCCCGCAAACCATGCCACTGCCTTCAAGGCAAGTCAAAGAAAATGAAAAAATACAACGGAAATCAAGCTCTCGAAGAACTTCTCCGAAGAGAATTAAAAAAAAAAAAAAAACAACAACAACAACAACAACAATGCAAATCGCACACAAAGAAGTGTGAATTGCAAGACACAGTAGTGTACGCAAATAACGCAAATAACGCAAATAACGGATGCAAATGGAGGAGTGAACGCAACAGGCCACGAATGATGAACAAGTGAGGGCAGGGTGGCTACTTAAAGCAATTGGGAGCCACCTTGTGGATAAGAGTTACAAGAGTCCACCAAGACATGAATGCCCCTGTTCTGGAAGCTCAACATTGACACCCAACAGGATGAGACTGAATCTTTGCGGCGAATAATAAACATGTGTACACTGGAATTTTCTTTATTCTCAACCGATGCTCTCTTTCTCTTGAGGATGCCCTGTCCTGCAACCTCTCTGCAGCACTTCTCGGACATCGCAGCTACGCCCCCGAAGAGCGGCCGTGTGCTGTTGAGGTGCCATCCATCGCCTCCCCCCCCCCCCCCCCCCGCAAATGGAAGGGAACGACATCGCCGCCCCCTCACAAGCGCCAACCCGTCCCCGTCCTCTGGTCGGAAGACGAGAACACGTCCCTTAGGCTCCCCTCACCGCAGAATGCAGATGCCGTCCTCCGGTCAGAAAACTCGAAAACAAGATAGTGCCTTACCCGACGATTCGACGGGCGAGGCATCACCCGCGATGGGAATAGCTTCGGGCTCGTTGAATCCGCCCGTCGTTCAGCAGGGTGGGGCGCAACCCCCGAGGTTGGTACCCCGGGCCGGGTCCCGGAGGGGGAATCTCGCGACGACCCGCCCTCGGGAGCCGCGCCGGTGCCACACCTACCTGGCTACGCTCGGGTATCATCGACAGGTCCGGGTATCCCGATGCTTCGGCGTATTCGTAGCAGACACGACCTTGGTTGCGGAGAGACCAGCGCCATTTCCCACGTCGAGCAGCACCACTACTGCGCTTAATCAGAGCTTCTTCTTCTGCGGGAATCGTCCTCACATGTTAGAAAGGCATCCATCGTTGTAAAAGCTCCTAGATCTTCCCCTTAGCCTCTCCACTAAGCTCGAGAGGCAAGTGGACGTTTCCTCCGAAAGACGCCATCTCGTTGTCCTTGGAACGCAACCTCTGCAAATTTTGACGTAGGCATAGTGAGTCTTCTGTCCAGATTCTAGCTACCTTTGCTCACACAGGCTGTGTTGTTTTCCGGATCCTTTAGCTTTTCGTTAAGCCTTTTGCACCATCGAAAGGACTGACGATTATTAAATGGGTTGTGAGTGGGTGTTTCCACCCAAAAGGGTGCAGCGATGGCCATACAATATTGATGCTGCTCCTGCAACTTGTCATTGTGGGTGAAAGGGGAGGAGTGTGGGCTAGAAGGGGAAGTGAAGTGGTTACGGTCTCACGAGAAGCATCGCTCCACCCTCCCCATTTAAAAGCCCTCAACACATGAGGCATGTGGCAACCCCAACTCGGTTCTTAAACGATGAAGAAACATGAACAAGATGAACAAGAAGTAAGGAATTAGTGGTGGTGGTGGTGGTGGTGGCTGTGGGCCTCAGTGATTCTGGCTCTGAAATCCACAAAATTTAATTGTAAACATGTATTCGTTCAGATATAACTGGTTTAGGTTCATGTTGATGTTGAACATCCACAGATAAATATATATACATCATGCCATATAAGTGGTATGTTTTTACAATGTATTGTGTTTTAATGATGAAGAACTTCTATTTTGTATAGTAAGAGCTTTATTGTTGTGCAAATAATGTTGCACAATAGATTTGGTATGCATGTGTATTTATGATATGTGTAAGTATATATAGATATATATATATATACACACAAAAAAAAGGGTAGAAACTCTTGCCTTTGGGCATAAAAAAGTTGTAATATTTTAAGTTGCCAAGTCATTAATCAACAAATCTTAAAGAAAGGTTAATCCAAAAAAAAAAACAAACAAACAAACAAACAAACAAACAAACAATAAAAATTTGGATATCAATGGAACCATTTATGTTTTTTTAATATTGGTTGCAAAAGAAATTTTTATTTATTCAACAATTAAAATAGGCAATATTTGGAGAAGTGGATTGTGAAAGAACAACATATTGTTCTACATTATGAAAAGACAACATACATTTTTACATCATGAAAGGGCAACACATGTTTTTGGCCAATGAGAAGGCTTCTTTACCACTTTGACTTATAGCTAAACTCCCTTAAGTGTTTTACCAAATGGACGCAATTCTATTATATTATAAATATACACATATCTTACTGTACTAACTCTTTGAATGATTTTATATTTTCACAGTGTTATTGAACTAATGTAATTGCCTGCATAATAAATAACAAAAAGAAATAAATGTAAGTGAAGAAGATGAAGGCTGATTATTTGATAAGAGTCAGATCTCCTTCTTTTTCTTTTTCTCTTTTTCTTTTTCCCTGAGATGACAATTTTTTATTTCCAACCAGTGGTTCACAAAAACATTTTTACTCAGAATCCAAGTTACCCATGTAAACATGCAATTGCAATGATACAGAAGTGAGGAATACATGGAGATGGTTCAGAAGAACATCCTGCAGAAATGTAAAATTTATAATGAAGATTGTTCATAGCATTCTAAATACCAACCCATCTGTGAACAACAACAAAACATACTTTTACAGTAAAATTATTCCACTACACCATTAATATCAAGATTAGAAATGAGATTAATAAAGGAGTGTCTTGTGCATTATAGACTCTAGCTCTTGTGTTGACAACTACATGAATAATGGAATGACAAAGATTTGAGGGTACCCATAGATTTCCTCATAGTCCTCAAAATTGACTCTTGATCATTGAATCAATGTCATCCACCTTGTATTTAACTCCACATCTCCATCTACACTGCATTCTCCTTTGAAGTGGTAGAAATACATGCATGTGTCTTTATATAGTTTAACTTTATGTTAAACTCTATATTGGATGGATAGACCAATAAATTGATACATATTATTTAATTTTTTTTTTTTATGTGTGGTCATTTAATTTATTTTAATGTTTTTTTAGATTAATTTGTTTGTGAAACATTTCAAGATTTAGGATTTGTATGTGAGAAGATGCAATGTATTTTATATACACACATATATATATATATATAGATAGATAGATATAGGGGAATGTTAAATAGACCCACACTTGATGAAGAATATGATAATCATGATGAATGTGGTTGGTTTTTATTGGTTGCAAATCCAATAGTGGAGAAATGAATCTAGAGGCCATTTTTGTTTTTCATGATAGTGGGATGGGTGGATTAAATTGGTAAAAACTTGGGTCTATTTAACATTCTTGTTTATATATATATATATATATATCAGAACAAAATTGCGTAAAATGTGCCTTCAACAAAAAAAATTAGTGCTGGAGATAGTTCTAGAATAATAGAAAATGAACAAATGTAGACATGCAACAATGCATCGGTTCAATCTAACCAAAGATCACTAAGAAAGATATCTTACACATGGTTGCAAAGTACAAGAATTGGTGCAAGTAGACAATGCTTGTAGAAAAGTAGAACAAGTTTATGATGTCAAATCACATTGTTGCATGTGAGAAGATGAGAAATGTAAATTAAAATAACTAAGAATTTGACCAAATGAAATGTCATGCTCTCCCAAGCTCTACGTGCCCCTGTGTATGCAACTTTTTATGTGTAATAAACTTGAATCTATGTGACTTGCCACATTTTGCTACTAGTGTGAACAGATCTTTTGTTTTTGTTTGTTGAAGTGAGAGGTATCTATTTGAGTTTGTGCTCATTCATTCAAACTTTCTTATATTCATCTGCATGTCCATTCATCTTGGCAGTCTGATATTTTCTTTATTATATCTAAATGACTTGTTTTAACACCTTACTCCTTGAGAAAAAGCAAGGACCCTGCATTCCAGTACATGTATACACATACCATGAATACTTATAAATATGCATATATAAGAAGGGGTATGAGAGTACATAAAATAGGCAGAACTATTTTTGCCCTTCCATAACTGGTTGTTAAGCCAGCAGAAAGAAGAGTAGCTTGCTATGTAGTGGTTGCCTTTCAAAGGAGAAAAGAAACTAAAAACTAAACTAATCAGTGCAACATGAAGTGAAGGAATTACAGAAGCAGATGCTTGTCTGCGACATTGTTCCAACATTTTGTCGTCATTGGGAAAGTTGTCATGTAAATTCTTACAACACAGTGCTAAAAAAAGAATGAATGGCATGAGGAGGGGGGGTTTACAGCAATTCGAATGGCATGAGGCCAGGCTTGTTGCCCATTTCCATCCACAGGAAGAGTCAACAACGGGGGAATGGGACTGGGACCGACTCTGCTGCTAATCTAGGGCTGCTCGTCGTTGGGATGCGAGCTTCCTCTCAAAGCCAGGCAGCGCTCACACGTCACTGTTTTTCTGACCCTCACTTCATGGAAACGGCACTCCGCTTGCCAATGCCAGGGTGTGCCAGCACTCCGCCTTTTTTACTTGTACGATGTTACAACTGGGTTTTTCTTTTTATTTTAACGGTGACAGATTTTTCAGCATATACCCTAAATCTCCGGAGATTATGTCATATCGTGCAAACTACTGCAATGTACCTGGCTACAGTGCCGGTGTCACCAATAATGGTAGCGTAATGTGCTGTGTTTAGAAGCTCTTGCTTTACTCAGCTCAGTTAGTGATTATTCGAGTGGGCGTAATGGAGAAGAGTATTTTTTTATCCATGCGGATCTCGACTTGTTTTTTTTTTTTTTTTTTTTTTTTTTCGAGTTGCTTCAGATGCGAGCGGTGCCACTTGTCGTGAACGAACAGTGTGCTGTGCTGGAAGCGCATGATGCACAGACTTGAGTTGAATAATGCCCTGCTCTGGATGTCCCCACTCCCCTGAATTCCTCGAAAAGGTTATTCCGTCGACTTCTGCGTGCTGCATGCGAAGTATCGCTAGTCTTGGCGCTTTACTTCGAAGTCTAGATTCAGATGGAAATGGGATGTGGGGTCCGGAGCTCACTGAGAAACTTTTTATATGTGTAGGCTCAGGACGCACCATATACAAAGTCAAAAAAAATTGCCTCCCGATGTGTCAAGCAGCGATGTTATAAGTAACTTCTGCCGCTCTCGATAGGCTAAGCAGGGGTTTGTGATAATCTGGATTGATTTAGTGAATAATAACAAGATTAATGGGCAATCAAAAAGGAGATGGGGTCGGCAGCCACATGGGAACCTGGAGTTGGGGAGGAATTTGCCAGAACTTTGGGCTAAAACAGGAGACCGGGAGGTGGGGGAGACGCGGCGCACGATTAGTGCTGTGTGCCATGATAATGGCGACAAAGCGCGTGAAAGCTCCTCTTCCCACCTTTGCAGAATCATGGTCCGGGGAGGCTACCGTCGCCATCTCTCGTCTCCCCATCTGG